TATTACGGAAGTGGCAGAGCAAAGCGATTATGTCGGGACCTCGGGTAGTGAGAGTAGAACTCGAGGGTTTTGGACTTCATTTTTACTCGTTCTTTACCTCCCAACACTTCTTCTGTGGAGGTAGAGAACGAGTATTGTGCTCAGTATGGTGTAATTTAGACCCCACGTTCAGTGAAGAAATGGTAACACATACAGCTATACTACTACAGCCAAAATGTTGCATTTTGCGGCTTAATGAACCCATAATAGAGTTTTTTTTTTGAGTTGGTAAGCAAAATTTTAAGAAATGATGAATCTAAAATACGAGAAGAGACGTTCGGCCCTTCGCCGCGGAGGCAGTTTTGAACCGGTCATGATTCTATATAATTACATAATAACATGCCATGAAATGACATAATACGATTAAGGTGGCTATTACGAAATGTACTAAGAAGTTTCTGAGTACCTCTTATGAATAATTACAAAGTAAACATTAGATTAATGCTGTTTACAAACATTCAAAACCTCAACAATAGGTTAGGCGCATGCGCGAACAACGCCATCTATTGACAGACGTAATAATCACACCATTTATCAATTCTGATGTTGCTTACCATTTCAAGTTTTCCTTTCGGTGGGTACAAAAAGGCTCTAAATTACACCATGCATGAAGAAAAAATGGTAAAGAACGAGTATCCTCCTTTTGCATCAAATTAATTTGATGGTTTTTCATTCTACTTGTTTCATTTTCTTACTGATTTCATGTATGATATTTGCAGAACACTTTCTCCGTTCTGAATGATACAACTATTGTCTCAACAGAGTCCACAACTTCCAAGAATAAAATTTCAGGGAAAGGAGTGCTTCGTCATCAGTAAGTTCTTCATTCAATTGTATTGTTTTGTTGTGTTTTGTAGTCTTGTAACAGTGATATCTTTGATTATCAGTTACACTTTTTCCAAAGTGTTTGGTCCTGATACAACGCAGAAAGAACTGTTTGATGAATGTGTGTCATACCAGATCAAAGATTTCATACTCGGCAGAAACTGTCTTTTGTTTGCTCATGGAACAACAAATGCGGGAAAAACGCACACTCTTCAAGGTTTTAATTTATTCAAACTAATCTTTTTCTCTAGAAAGTTAGTGACACTTTTAATCCACTCTTCATTTCTGCCAGGTGATGGATCAAGTCCAGGTGTCATTCCAAGATCTCTAGATTTGTTGTTTAAGAACATTCGAGGTCAAGTGTCAAGTGAAGGGCGCTACAAACCAGATAATGTTAATAGGATTATACAACTTGATTCCAGCTCCATTGTTTCTGAACTAGAATATAAAAATGGTATTCTTAATTGGAATGATAAGGTAAACAGAGTGTGCAATTATTTACCAGAAGTATTTCTATCTATATTTTAATATCCATTATGTTTCTCTTTGATGTGTAGCCTCTTAAACCAATCAAGTCTGGAATTGCATCTTCGTCTTGTGATATAAGTGGAGGCAGTGAATCAGGTATGGTATAAATTATCTTCTCATTTGAATATGTGATTATGATGTTACTCAAATCCTAGATTTGATAAGTCATTTTAAAACACCATCTTTGAAAGAAAATTTCTGTAGTACTTATTCTCATACTTTCATCTTACTAGGTCCATATTAAATCAACCCTTGTTTCTCCCTTTCTTTTTCCCTCGTAGATTTCATTTCAAATACTTTTAGAGAAATGCAGAAAACCCTTACCAATGACTCCCCAATTGATATGTCAACTGAGGGTGATGTAGTTTATGGTGTTTGGGTATCATTTGCTGGAGTGTACAATGAACGTATTTATGATCTTCTTGACCCAATTGTAACTGTCAACTGTAAT